AAAGAGAAAACAGGACAGAAAACAACCCTTCCTGGAGCTTTGTGATGCAGAGGATAACGGACAGTATCCGGGAATGGCCGTGTGTTCTGACCCAGGCCGGTTAGCCCAGAAGCACAAAGCAGGAACCAGAGCTCAGAGTCCCAGAGAGAGTTTGTGTTAGAGGGGCTGACCTGAGGGGGCGCCCTCAGAGCGAAGAACTCATGGAGGGAGGGCGGGAGCCATGCAAAGCCCAAGGGTTGAGCCTTCAGGGCCAGGTCGAAACCAGTGCAAGAAGACAGAGAAACGCTCTTCGCTCTTCGTAAGCACTTTTGTGTCCAGATCTGTCCTGGAGGCTTGTCACTGCAGCTGGCCGGCCACGATCACAACTGGAGGAAACTCTGGGGACCTGCATTGGCTCAGGAAGGTTAGGAGGTCAGCCCCAAGTCACACAGCAATTAAGTAGTGAGTAGAGGATTTGAACTAAGTTCTCTCTGACCCCCAGAGAGTAACCAGTCCACTGTCTGACTGACTCTGCTCCCACACCCCAGGGACTCCACAGTATTACACTTCTGGGAGAGAGGCTGTCGATTGTTTTTGACACTTGGCTCCACCCTAAGCCTTTCGTTTTTCTTATTCATAGTTCCAGTGTGAGGCCGCAAGGTTGGGACAATCTCAAGCTTTGCTTCATAAAATGGTTCAGAAACTAGACCAGGCTGGAGCCAAGTAACCTGCCAGCGATTTGGTCCGTTTTTTTTTTTCAAAGGCAGAAGCCTTAGCTCCAGGGAGTCGAGCTGTGGCATAAATTGGGAATTCTGCACCCTGGCACACAGCTTCTAACTTCTAGACGCCATGGCTGTTTTTCTAGAAAGGACGTTCATGCAAAGGCAGAGAGTGGGCTCTAAGGCTGACAGCTCGGGGTTCAAACCCGTTCTGATCCCTGGTAGCTCAGTGACCCAGGAAAGGAGGTGTGCAGTCAGCACCCACAGAAGTGGACACACACACACGCACACACGTATCAATATCTGTGGGGTCCTCTGTGAGGTTATTTAATGAGAATATTAGTGAGGACAACACACAGACCTCACCTGGAAGCTCCAGAACCACCTTTCCGTGCGCGTTGCTCCCTTCCAGGGCGGTGTAAGGTGCCGTTCTGTACTGAGGGTACTGAGGCTCAGAAAAGAGATTTGTCCAGAAAAGCTCTATCACTAAGTGACAGGATCAGACTGAAGCTCAGGTCACCTCATGTCTGGACTGAGCCTTTTGTATGGAGAGCGTCCACAAGTAACCACACGGGAAACACCAGTGCAAATGAGTCACTCTTTAATAGCGGGCAATAAGTTAACACCAAGACGCAGCACAGCCGACACTGGAATGTCACACAGACAACATTGTAACAGGATCCACGGACACACTGCAGCTTCAGGACTTGGGCCTGTCCCTCTCACATGGATGATCAAAGAATCATGAACTGCCGGAATGGGAGTTGAGGGTTCAAATCAGGATGTGAGACCCGGGGACCAGGGGTCTGGGGAGAGGTGGTTGTAATCCCAGAGGCAAGAACTGGTCTTTGATTCATGGGGTCCCTGGTTCATCCAACACAGAGCCTTCAGCCACCACCTTTGGAAGAGCTTCGGGACATGCATCCCATGAAAACCACACTTCTTTCTGTCGCATGGATGAAGGGAAGGGCTCTAACTGGGAAAGTACCTGAACCTTTTGAACTCAAAGTAAGTCAGGGGACCAGCAGGTGGCTTGGTGGTTAAGGTGCTGGGCACTCCCACAGGGCCGCCTGCAGTTTGAGTCCCAGACCTGCTAGCTTGCTTTCTGCTTCCCCCCACCTCTCTCTTTCTCTGTGTGTGTGTGCCCGGTCAAATTAAAATAAATAAATGAATAAATAAAGTTAAATTAAAATTTTTTCTTTAAAACAAAGCAGGTGGACTGAAGTTTACCCAATGCGAACCCCAGCGCCCAGTGCCTAAATGCCTGCCCTATACTATGAGCACAGAGGGACGCCCTCTGCAGCCAAGGGTCAGAGAGTTTTCACTGAGTTTCCAGTCCCCATGGAGCATTTGGGGTCAGAGAGAACGTCGGGAGTGTGCCACCATCAGGAGATTCCTCATCAGCCTCAGGAAGTTGAAGATGACAGAAGCTTCGTGGCAAGGACGTGAATCCTGCATCCGCGGGAAGAGGCAGAGCGGGGCTGAATCAGGAGCGTCCCGCCCAAGAAACTCCAAGGAATTGCGGCGACAAGCCTCAGTCCCAGGACCTCAGTGTAACCCGCCCCGCCGCACTCACCGTTGTGCGCATTTGGGGACGCCTCCTGGATGGCAGCGGGGACTTTCTGGAGGAGCCTGGTAGGAACAGGCTGAGCTGCAGGTGGGGCACAGGACAATGTGAGGGAGCAGACGCGGCCTCCCTCACCTGCCCTGGCCTCCGGTACTCACGCAGGTCGCCACGTCCCTTCCCGCGGCCGCCAGCAGCTCCAGGGTCGCGCCGAGGCCGGGCCACGGCTCCGGGCTGCGCAGGCTGTTCAGCACGGCCTGGGAGTCCGCGATGGCCCGGGCCACGTGGCGGAGCTGAGCACAGGACTGCGGGGACAGGGCGACATGACACAGGGGCCGTGCGGGGCCGCGCCGCCCCCCTCCAGGGCCGGTACGTCCCTTCCCGCGGCCGCCAGCAGCTCCAGGGTCGCGCCGAGGCCGGGCCACGGCTCCGGGCTGCGCAGGCTGTTCAGCACGGCCTGGGAGTCCGCGATGGCCCGGGCCACGTGGCGGAGCTGAGCACAGGACTGCGGGGACAGGGCGACATGACACAGGGGCCGTGCGGGGCCGCGCCGCCCCCCTCCAGGGCCGGTCCTCACCGAGGGTCGAGGGCGATCCCTCCGAGGGCGGAAGGAGCAGGTGCGCGGCCCCCAGCTCAGCGTCTCTTGTTCCTGCGGGACAAGGCGGGGAAGCTGGGAATCCCTGGCAGGCGCGGTGGCGGTGGTGGCGCTCTGGGCTCCTGGACGTGCCTGTCGGGGCCTGAACTAGGGAGCTCCCCGAAGACGTGAGCGGGGCTGAAACGCATCCCCGGTGCC